TTGCTCTATTAACCAGTGCCTCACTCTCTTATCATCGTCATTGAGGGCTAGGCGAGCCATGCCAGTCTCCGTCTCATGTCTGCCATTCCCGTCAGCCTCTAATGTATCTATTGTACAATGTGATACTCACGCTCCCCAGGGGTACGCCTTCCCATATTCACAAGTGAAATGGAGCGTCTCCATCAATCTGGTTCCATTGACCCTCAGAGGGCAGCCCTCATCTTTGGGATGCGAGGCAGTTTGATGCGACATTTCAAGAGGATCGGATCGTGTCGCTCGAAATTAAGATAGTCTTGGGATTCTATTTGCCTCTTCTATTGCCCTCGGAATCTTACTATAAATGTTCTAACATACATCTTCACATCATGGGGTGACCATATTGGGAATCTGGGGTCGGTTCCATCCAAGGCGGCGGCCAATGATCCCGAAGTTGGGCGATGTTCGGCCATACCTACCTTATGCAAAGGTTGATTGGGCTAATAGATAGGGCTTGAACGCGGCCACCAGTCTTCGGCCATCTACTTCTAGACTTTAGTCAGCCGCCGATAGCTCCTTAGTCGTGCTCTCCTCCTCATGAGACACTAACCCATTTCCAGGTTCTTCGACTTCATAAGCTCGATAGGATTAGAGAATGGTGACTATTGATCTCTCTTCCCCTCACCTTCCTTCATACGTCTAATGCAACCTCACCTCCTATAGAATCATAGACGCCTAATCAACATTCTAAAACCATACTACTCTAAATATGTCTTTAATACACGTCTCAAAATGAGAGAGACTTTACAGTGTTGCAGAAAAAAAGTGGTAGAACATACAGTTACTCCGAGCCGGTTGGTCCCGTGTAGCTACTCATGTATTCTGGATATCCAAGTAGCATCAATTTCTCAAGAAAGTAGACAGTTTCAAATCTCTCATCTGTGCAATTTATCTATGAAAGACAGTTATATAATTTATATGTTACATTTATTGTTTACGAGCCCGTTCCTGACATGCCAGCCAGGCAGCTGCAATATCCTCGCACTTGCAAAACTCCACCGCCTCACCAAAGCCCTTTAGCCAGCCAATGAACCGATCAACCATCCCGATAATGTGAGCCAGCCCAGTAACATCGGGATGAACGAGGATGGGGAAGATGAAATCGGCAGCGTCGGTACCCTCGAGAGTACCTTGATCCCAGAGCCACATGAACTTGTCCTTCCACATCTGCTCGACGACTGATGTCGAGACGTAGCCCATACTGTTCGGGAGATGAGGGAGATACATCATGGGCATCATATCTTCATTATACCAGCCGCAAGGCAGCTCAACCAGGGGTTGCTGGCCCTCAGGATATCCCTGGGAGGCAATAGTTGAAGGCTGCAACCACGATGAGGCTGGCTTGGACCAATCAATGTGCTCGATTGGGGGATCATTTGGTGTAAAGTATGGCTGAGAGTCGTGGTGCATCAAAGACGAGTTGTAAAGGAATCCATGCTCTCTCAGCAACTTGACTGTGGTCTCCCGAATGGTGTACATGGGAGCGCGATAGCCCTTGGGCTTCTTGCCAGTGAGCTTAGTTGCAACATCGATACTGGAACTCATAGTCAGCCAAGGATCAAACTGTAAGATAATATCGTTCCACTTACCACTTCAGCAAGACCTCACGCTCCTGTTCTTCCGTCATTTGATAGATACCCTCATGAGCGTAACCGTGCAGCGCGACCTCGGCACCAGCCTCAACCACAGCTTTGGCGGCATCAGGGAAAGTCTCTGCCGTATGGCCGGGGATAAACCATGTCATCTTGTTGGCAATGTCGTGCTTCTTAAATAGACGAAGAAGACGGAAGACACCAACCTGGCCGGCGAACACGCCAGAGCTATAATCAGCCATATTGTTGTCTTTATGGCAGCCCGTCCCAAGCCAATGTGAGACCGCGTCAAAGTCTACTGAAAATGCAATCTTGACCTTGCGAGAGGGAGGAGTGGGCTGTGGAACCAGAGCAGCTGAGGTCGCATCGCCATCAACAATTTGATACTCACAATCCATGGGTGTACCACCATTGACTGGATCCAGGTCCTGGGGACATGAACTCATAACGATAATCAGATCCTTCTCAGCCTTGAAGGCAACATACTGGCCCTTCTGGCTGACTGGAGCTTTGATTGAAATGTTCCCTTGGTGATCAATAGGAATGTTCATGAAAAGATTGAGGGGATCAGGAACCCAATCATCGGCGATGGAGAATTTGGGAAAGTTGTCCTTGAGAGCCTATACAAAATGTCAGTGGCCTCAGATGTAAAATGGATCTTCATGCCGCTTCTGGCCGACTTTCACTGTCGATTTAGTTAAGGTATCACGGACCTTGTGCATATTGTCTGTACAGTTGTCATGGTATCCCTGGAAGCCTTGCATGCGATATCTCTCCTTGTCACAAGCAGACCAGATCATATCGTGCACTCCGGGAGAAGTATCCTCGACCAATGTAAGGATGGGCTGCCGTCGTGTGCTGTACAGCTTATCGCCCTTGGCAATGGCGACTTTGAGCAGAATCGTTCTGCAGTGCACCATTGACAGAAAGTCATTGGGGTCAGCAGGGTTGAATGCCCAAAAGTCGACCACCTGCTGCCCAAAGGTGTTGATAACCTTAACGGTCTGGCCAGCCTTGACCTCAAAGGCCACAGCTTGACGAGCAGGGATAATGGGCATTGCGGAGTGTGTTCTGTGGCTCACGATTGATGCTAGATTCCTCGCTTAAATTTGCACTTTCAAAATAATTAAGGAGATGACGGATTTTTCCACGTGTTTTCTTAAGCGAGGCACACTGTGATTGAATTCTCATGCTCAAGATATATTTGAACTTGGAACAGTGATCCGGTAGTCCGTAGAGCTATGTGACGCGGTAGTAGCGTCGAGTTGGCCGGGCACACTATGATGGCCGAAGGCAGATGCAGTACCCCTCATGCAACATGGCCGTCAAAGCCGAAAGGTTAACCTATCATGTGATTGACTACGATAAGCGGAATCTACCACAGTAGATCTTGGAGGTACAACGGATATAATAGGGTACGATAGGTGTCGATCTCACTGTCCCGTATCCTCTACAGTCTCCAGGGGTTCAGATGGCCGATAGCCGCCGCTTCTCCCGCTCTTATGCCACTGTACTTAGTACTGGCAGGATATCCAGCGTGATTGAAATTTGCTAACATGAAAAGGTAAAGGAGATAATTTTGCCTGTTGGTTGGGGGCCGGCTTACTTTATAGTTACGAGCGGTCCAGCAAGGTACATGTAGGGACAGACTGCTACTATTATTGCCAATCTTGCCCACAGTTGTCGTCGAGCGATGGCCAGGCTACCGTATAAGTTTTCAGGTTCTATATCAAGGTCGAGAAGACCAATCATAGGGGCAATCTAGTCACATATTCTTTTCCATCGGACATTCGTAAATGTAAACATTTTACTTGCACAAGGATTTCGTGGTAATGAGCAGCTTGTGACAAATGAGAAGCTCTATTTTCATTTGGCGTTATTGAAGTTATTCTTTTGTGGGCTTCCAGCTCACGCCGGTTCCAAGTGCTATATCTATCTTGGCCGAGTTTCGGGACATCTCCTCTCCCATCCAGAGATGATCTGTCTTGTCCAAGTCCTCCTCAATATCCCAACCCTCACCACCTTCCACGTACACCGCTATGCCTGTCGCAACAGTGCCGTCAGCCTTCTTGGGGGTAGAGGCAAGAGTCAGAACATATTCTGCCACATGATAGGCTTCGTTCACTGGTAGGCCATGGGCCACCCAAAGGTCGTGGACAGCGGACCCCATGATGGTGTTGACATGGGATGGGTTGACCATATTGATGCGAATGCCAAATTTCTTGCTCATCAGGCTCTTAGTGCTACGGAACAGACCCATAACACCATGTTTAGTTGGCCCGTAGACGAAGAGGCCAGCCTGCTCCTTAAATGATGCGATGGAGCCGACAATAGTTAGCGACTTGTCCTTGCCATCCTCATTGCCTTGTCTGAGATACACGGCAGCAATACGGGCAAAATACAAGACACCAGTGAAGTTGACGTCGACGATGGTGGTAGGAGGCGGGGCCTCAATGGTGTCAAGATTCAGACTCTCGTCATACCAGTTCAAGCTCTCAGTGACTGCAGCGCATGAAATGGCATGATCGACCCGTCCATGGGTCTTGTAAGCAGCTTTGAACAAAGCCAAGTTGTCATCGTACTTGCGGGCGTCAAATGGGGTAGCCACCAGACTGTTAGTCGCGGAGGGATTCTGTGCTCTCAAGGCCGCAATCACTTTGTCGGAGCCATCCTGGTCAATGTCGCCGAAGAAGACATGCGCCCCGGCGGCGAACAGATATCGAACAATCGACTCTGCAACCCCTCGCGCGCCACCTAAGATTATTTAGCCTCTGTGATTGAACGTAATACCCCTCCTTCCCGTGGACAGGGGCGTATGTGACCACGTACCAGTCAACACGAACACCTGGTCTTTCAAGGCGCCAAATGAATTGGGATCTCGATGGTAGGGCGGCATATTGACTTGATGGCTATGAAATTCTTGAATTGATGATGGAATTAATGACGTTGTTTTCTTTTCGTCAGATGATTGCTTACAATTCGAGCCAGCACATTTCTTCCGCAGAATAGACTCTTTAAAGAGAGCCAGTTTCATTCCATGGCCGATGGAATCTTGCCCGACAGGGGATCATTTCCGATGCCAACTTACGCCCTGTGGATGGGATATCTTCCGAAATGGCTAGTTTCCTCATCCGCAGTTAAGCAATGCCGACGGCCAGTGGCTCCAGATTAATGGCCGAAGCAAGATAGCCGAATGTGCAGACCCCCCTCGGCGAACAAACCGGCTACCAGATTTTGGCCTCTTAGAGCTATGATGCAACTCTGACTTTGAAGCTGTATTGAAAATCGTCATACTTCTGTAGCCAGTTTGACTATTGACTCTGTCTCAGAGGCCTCGTACCTGCGGAGCTACGACACGAAGTAGTAAGACAAATGCATTCACCTTCACCATTCCCACTAGGTCAATACCTTGCCAATGGCAACCATACAGACCCTCCATTACTTCCCGATGGTCCCACTACTGGGTTCAAGTTCAACCATATGATGATGAGAATCAAAGATCCTGCTCGCTCCTTGAATTTCTATATCAAATTGATGGGCATGCGGACAGTTTTCACGATCAATACTGGCCCCTTCACAATTTATTACCTAGGCTATCCGCAAACAGACGCCCACCGTGCTGATCTGAAAGCATTCGGCGAAGAAACTGTGCCTAAGCTAGCACACACTCTCGGACTGTTGGAATTGTATCATGTCCACGGTACAGAGAAAAGTGCAGGGGAAATCTCCACGGGAAATCAGCCTCCAAATCTGGGATTTGGGCACTTGGGCTTTTCCGTCCCTGATGTTCCATCAGCGCTGGAGCACCTTGTAAGCCATGGTGTGGAGGTTTTAAAACCACTTGGTGCTGCCTCCCGCTCTGATGTTCCATTGAGTCAGTGGGAGGCAGACCGCGGTCTTGGTGCGGGTGAGCTGCACCCTACATATCAGGCAGTCTTCAAGCAGATTGCCTTTGTGAAAGATCCTGTAAGTAGCTCCTAAAGTTTCTGTGTAATGGAGACGTCACTAACAGGTCCTCGAACAAGGATGGTTACATTGTCGAGCTTGTCCCTCAGAAAATGAACGCTCTGGACCCTTGAGACACGATAAGATCGGCGCTTCACGTCGAACCCATGCTTACACAGTTCAGACGCATCTAGCACGGATAAATGCTAAATCACATCAACCCAACGAAGAGTTCTCAATGGACCAAGTGAATGTATCTCTCCATCGCAGTGTGATCGTAGAGTACCTAAGATAGGCCGATTGTTGGCTTCCCCCCGGAACCTGTTGAATGCGTTGGTATTAGCTCAGCATGTTCTTATCGAGTAGCCGTAAGGGCCGGTAGACTCATGAATCATGTCTTCTGGGCCCTTACGACTGCGGATAATGTTATGTGAGGTTCTCCGCTGGCGCAATTACCGGCTCAACGTGACTTTACCCCTTGTTTGATTGTGGCCTATTGGCCTGGAGATGTTGATGAGGCATTGCTGGCGCAATCAGGTGGTGTGCTGAAATTGTTGCCCTAGCATCCTTGTTCAAGATAGGCTTTCTGGGATGGCTTGATAAAGATATGAGATATGACTCGCGTTATCTGTGTTTAACCTATCTTCGGCCGTTGTCGGGCGCCATCGGCATCTCCCCATTTTGTGACACCTGATTTCCATCGCGATTTCACTAATAATAGAGAACATGCAGCTTCCATGCATGCAACAACTTGATGCATACAAGACAATCCACAAATCACCAATTGGCTCATGGCTCTCTCTTATTCTAATCCGGCTGACCAGACCGGCGCGCCCTTGTCGAAAGCCACAAGTTCCGCCGCATCAGACTCCAAAATGAAGCAACCAGTTGTTGATTCTCAGCAGGTTCAGGCTAAGGCTGAGCCGCAAACAGGGGAGGTTGTCGACATCGAGGCTGGGTTTCTTACCAAGACTCGAATATGGATCCAGAAGGTCGGCGCTGAAGAATCCGGGATCGAGCGAGTTCCTGAGGATGCTCGTATCAAGCAGAGCCCATGGTCTCTATTCCTGGTTTTCTTCAGCGCCAACTGCTGTACAGCAACTCTTGCACTTGGATACCTAGGCCCCGCAACCTTCGGCCTGGGATGGTGGGACTCTTTCCTGTGCATCCTCTTCTACAACCTGCTGGGCTCCCTGTTCCCGGCTGCCGTCGCCCGGTTCGGCAACCGGACAGGCCTTCGGACTATGGCCGTGCCTCGATACTCCTTCGGATGGTGGCCAACCAAAGTCTTAGCTGTCCTCAATATCATCACACAGATCGGGTGGGGCATTGTCAATGACCTCTCTGGTACCTCCATTTTCTATGATGTTGGCGACGGTAAACTACCATCAGCAGTTTGCGTTGTCATCATTGGCCTCATCGCGATCATCGTTGCCGCCCTAGGTTACAAGTATATTCATATCTACGAAAGATACTCTTGGATATTCATGTGTATTTGCTTCGCGATCCTGGCTGGCTTCGGTGCCAAGGACTTTGTCAACCTCCCAATGGGCACTGGCCAGACAGAACTATCCGCTGTCCTCGGCTTCGGTACCGTCATTTTCGGGTTTCAGATTGCCTGGATCCTTATTGCTGCCGATTATAGTGTCTACATGGACGAAAACACCAGCGACTGGGCCGTCTTTGGCTGTGCATATGGCGGCCTCTTTGTGGGCCAGTTCTTCATTGAGATTCTCGGAGCTGCCATTGGTACTCTGATCTCGAGCCCCGACGCTCGTTTCCAGGAAGCATACGATCGAGCTGGGATGGGCGGTCTCATGGGTGCCGTCTTCGCTGGACATGGCAATGGCGTTCGAGGGCTCGGCAAGCTCGTCGAGGCTATCCTCTCCCTATCAACGGCTGCCGTCATTGTTTGCGGGATATACTCTATCGGACTCAGTGCCCAGCTTACATCAGAGAAGGCTCTCCGTGTCCCTCGCATTATCTGGTCGCTTCTTGGCGGTATCATCTTCTTGGTTTGTGCCATCGCCGGCCGAGACCACCTCGAGGCTGTCATGACCAACTTCCTCAACATGTGCGCATATTATCTGACGCCGCTCACAACCGTCATTCTTGTGGAGCACTTTGTCTGGCACCGAGGATGGAACTATAACCTCGAGGCCTGGAATGACAGGAACCAGCTTCCATTTGGCATTGCGGCTTCCGTCAGTGCCATTATTGGGACCGTCATCGCCCTGATGTGCATGAGTCAAACTTGGTGGATTGGTCCTATTGCCCTCGCCATAGGTGGCTCAGAGGCTGGGACCGATATTAGTTGGATGCTTGCTCTCGGCGTGACCACGGTTTTGTATATTCCTCTTCGATATTGGGAGTTGCGCAAATGGGGACGGTGATCTGCTACCCTACCAGGATCTGTTTACTTTTCTATTCTCTTCTGTTTTGGGGTAATTTTTCCATTGTAGGAACATAATTTTGTGAAATTTCCATAGTCGGATAATAGCAGTCTCTACTTCAGATATCGCGACCAAGTTAATTTCATTATATAATTACTTCCTGATTTCCATTTATCAGTGTATTTTACAAAATTCTCGCATGCAAACTCTCGAGACTACCTCACTGTCCCCTATTCACCCTATTCACCCTAAATAATAGAAGTTTGGTAGGGCCGTATCGCATCTCCATTAAATCACAACATGAACAAATCAAGTTCGGTCAAGTAAATGATTTGTAAATATCTACAACAAGTCTTTCTCAATGTAAACAGCCTCCTCGAATGCCTTAATGACAGGTAAGACAACTGGGTCAGAGGGCGGCAAAACTTGAGTTCCAAACACCCCACAAACCCCAGCATTTCGATCAATGAACTATCATCCGCTGGATTAGCACCTTCATTTTAATTGAGCAAGACGACTTTCAACATACCCAAAAGACGCTTGGGGCGCCACTCCACAAGAGAGTATTCCGACGCCGATACGGGTGTGAATCGCCGTCAATAAGCAACCCGCCCAGGCCCCAGTCGTACTCTTTGGTCTTGGGTAAATCGCCAACAGTCCAGGTAGCTGATTCTAGTTCTTGAGATAATGCCGCCTTCGAAGTTGGTGATAAAGACGGCTTGAACATAAGAGCAGTTGTCTCCCGTTTGAGTAGTACCTGATCATCCAGGAGAAGAGATCGTAGAATTTTCATATAATCGGGTAGATTTATGAATAGTCCTTGCCCACCAAAGCATTCTTTGAGCCCCGTTGTGAAGCTTGGGGCTCCCGGATCAGGGACTGCGCGTGCGTTTCCATGTTCTCTCATCGCCATCGGGGGACGTTTTCCGCCCCAAAACGATGCACTAGAGATCCCGAGAGGTTGGAAAATGTATTGCTTAAAATAATATTCCAACGTTGTCTTGGTCAATTTCTCAATAATCTGGCCAACTCTGTCGAGACTGTTGCTGTATCGCCACCCTTCACCGGGCTCATATGACAGTGGAAAGTCAAAGTTGGCGTCGATGGTCCCATCAGATACGTACCCAGGTGAAACAGCAACAAATTTAGCAATTCGGTCATCTGTAAATGTATAGGCTCCCCCAGCGGAGTGAGTGAGCAGGCGGTGCAAAGTTATTGCATTGCGACGAGGGTGAGACGCATAGGAGCCATCACCGTTAACATCGCCCTCCAAGACGCCTCTTTTGCTAAACTCCGGGATCAGCTGTGAAACATCGTCTTCCAGGCGGATGAGACCTCGTTCCACAAGCTGCAAGGCGGCAATAGTGGTGACAAGCTTTGTCAGGGATGCGACTTCCAGGACAGTTTCGTCTGTATATGTGGAGTCCAGCCCTGATATTGCTTTTGAGTATCTGAGTTTGCCTGTCAAGGAGCTTAGCCATGCATAACAACGGCCGCGTAGATATTACTACCATCAATATCACTTGCAAGAAAGATTGCTCCAGGGATCACTCCGTCCTCCACAGCTTTCGAGACTATTGACTCATAGGCTTCCATGTCTGAGGCTTGCATCAACTGGGTTCTATGTACTCATTGAAGCACTCACAAATTTACCAAGTGTACCTTGTAGTTATACGAAGGAGTCCACCCCACAGATGGAGATTATCTGAGCCATTTCGGCCAAGGAGCCGCCATTAGGAAGCCATCGTTATACCTGAGTGTCCCCGCTAACTCATTTGCCGGCTGAAGCATAGATCCATGATCTTAGACCCCTCCGGACCGGACAATGCCAGTCCGGTATCTCCTGTTCATTCCTATCTCCTTAGCTGTGGAAATACTCTAAGAGGCCCCACACCCCTATATACACCTCTTTAATAATATAGTATATATAAATACTTTTAAAATAAATAAATATAGTAGTCTTAGTACCTAAAAATATATATTTATAATACTCTAACCACTATAATAGAAGTACCTTATAATTAAGCTTTAGAGCTTAACTATAGTCTTACTTTTTATAATACCTTAAGTTAAACTATAAGGCTAACGCTAAGCCTATATAATAATATAGCCTATATAGCTAGCTAAAGAGTATAATTTTTAACCTTTTAAGTTACCTCCTTATAGCCTAACTATATAACCTCTTCTAGCTACTCTAGTTAAATTATTCTAGTATTTTTACCTTATTTACCTTATTAAGTAATAAGTTATCTAGATAAATAAATAAGCCTAGTTCTAACTAGCTTAAAGTAATAAGGGTAACCTAAATAATAAGGGTTTAAAGCTATTAAGGTACTTCTTACCTTAGATAACTCTTTCTAATTTATCTAATTATAAAATATATACTTTATAATTAATACTAGCTTCTTTAATAATATATATAAATCTTCCCTCCCTTTAAGTTAATTAATAATAATAACTAATATATACTCTTCTAAATTTATAAATAATCTAACTATATATAATATACCTTAATATAGCTTTTTATCCTAGGTAATAAGGTTACTATAGATAAATATATAATATACTTTATAAGTAGAAGTTAAGCTATTATAACCCTTTTAATAAAGCTTATTCTAATAAGCTTAAAGGTATAAGTTATTATATAAAGAGGCTATTTCCTTTATTAAAGATATTATATCTTAATCTCTACCTTTCCTACTAGAATATAAAGGAATCCTTATTCTAATAGGCTTATAAAGACTTAAGCTATTATATTAAACCTTATAATAAGCCTTTCTTAAAATATATATTATATCTTCTTTAATAATCTCTTTATAATACTAAATCTTATCTATACTCTTTATAATAGGGGATTTATAGCTATTAGTATAATATATATTAATAGTAGAATTTATACTTTATTTATTTAAGCTAAATAGCTTAATAATAATAGAAAGCTAATTTAGGATTTTAATTACCTTAAAGTTACTATAATATATAATAAGATTATCTAATAGCTAGCTTAAAAGGATAATATACTTATACTCTTTATAAGCTCTTTTTATAAAGATAGTAAATATTAAGTTATAAAGTAATAGTAGCTAACTTTAATATATCCTTAAGTAAGATAAGCTAAGGAGTTCTTTAGTAATAAGGCTTCTAAAGAGGTTAAAATCCTAATTATTATTATTAGCTATAATTATTATATAAATTTAGTTAATATAAGTAACTAGCTTTAAGCTAGTATAAGCTATAATTATTATATTTACTAAAGAGCTTAATAAGCTCTTTCTTAAACCTTCCTACTATTATACTATAAACAAGGGCTATATAGAGCCCCCTATAAAAGGGCTAGAAATAGCTAGTAGATAGAAGTAATTTAAGCCTTAAGAATTATATTACCTTATATATAAGTAAAGGTATTATAAACCTAGGTTTTAACTATAAGCTATCTAACTATAGCTACCCTATAGCTAACTTTATAACCTATCTATAGCACTAGCCTAGTTATAGCTAGACTTAAGTATAATAAGTAATAGTAATTCTTTATTATCTTAGGACCTTAAATAATTAATTTAATAGCCTAGAAGAGGGTAATAATAATAAGAACCTAGCTAGATACTAGTTAAAGCTAGTTTAAGAAATAGTTAATTTAATATATTTAATATTAAATATATATATTAAATTACTAACTTCCTTAAAAATAACTTAAACTTTATACTAAAAGGTAGGTTATTATAAATAATAGCTATAGCCTAGTTAGTTAAGACCTTTATTAAATAAATTAATTTTAAGTATTTATTTCTCTAGCTACTAAAAGACTAGAATACTAAAGTATTAATCTATTAGAACCTAATTAACTAATAAGTAGTTAAAGTAAACTAGAATATTATAAAGTATATTATTTTAAAAGCCTAAGGACTAAGAATTATATTAATAAGTAGACTAACTTTACTATATTTAGGAGGCTTAAGTACTAAATTAATAAAAGATAAGATCTTAAAGGAATAAATAAATATAAATATAGGTAAGAACCCTAAAAATACCCTTATTATCTCCTTAATAATAAGAAAGTAGAGGACTCTAATTAAGATATAGCTAGGCCTTTAATATCTTATATAATTATAAAGGTAACTTTTATTAATTAGATTAATCCTTAAGTATTTTTAGATATATATACTAAAAAGAGAAAGACTAAGTAATCTTAAATTATTACTAAGTAATAGCTAAATATAGGAATAAGGATCTCTCTCTTTAAGCTTTATAGTAAGATTTAATAAAGATTTAAACTTAATAAGAATAATATAAAGGAGAGATACCTTAACCTAATACTTAGCTTTAATAATAATTAATAACTTACCTATAGGAAAAAGGAA